GCAGATCTGCAGGAATGACGAAGAGCAAGAAGGCGGCATGCAGGCTCGGTCGATCCCGCTGTTACTATTCTTGAGACGGCAGCAAAACCAAGTATTTTACAGTCAAGTCGCAACAACGGCTGAGAAAGCAACAAATCTTACAAGCTACCTTCAGGTAGGAAAGCTATAACGGTACACACATACACTCGCCTGTATACGGACACACACACACATCCATCAACAACAACCAACAACAACTTGCATACGTCCCAAGGCACTGGACAGCGAGGGTTTGCACCTGAGCTGTAGGTTGGTATCAGTGAGATCGGACACACACACACTCTCTCTCCTCAACAATAACTTGCATTTATATAGCGCTCCTCATGCAGGGCAGCAGCCCAGAGCGCTTCTGACATGAAAGGCGCTATATAAATGTAATTTGTTGTTGTGTTGAACTGTTAATGTGCAATATTAAAGAACAGGCAGACGGGACCTTTCGGCAGATGCACTGGGTCACAGCCTTGGGCACAGGTTCACATCAGGTTTCTCCACCATCTCAGCAAACGAAGAGTAAAGGACAGAGATCGTAGTTGAAGTCATCTTGGCCTGTGCTCTCACTCCACCCAGTAGCACATTGCAGAACTGCAGCTTCAGAGGCAGGTCACCCTGTATGTGTGTGTGTGTGTGTGTGTGTGTGGGGGGGGCTAATGTCTCCCTCCTAACTCTGAGCCCTACTGCTGACTGACCCACCTAAGATCAGTTTGGCTTTTCCCGTGAGGCCATCGATTCCTCTTTACACGTGAATAAATGGAAGGGGAGGAACGCATTTACACCCGAAAGGTGACTGGTCAGCCTCGGTTTGCTGATCCGCGTTATGATTAAAAACATATTTATGCGACTTGTGGGTGACATCAGAAACTGAAGTTCAAGGAGGCAGTGTCTGATTCAACATCAAATTTAAACTCCCAACACATCGCCCTGACCAGCAACCCCAGCCCATTGCCAACAACGCACAGTTATACAGCTCCTTACCTGGCCGAACGTTGAGTACAGAAACACTGGGATCTCAGCCACGGTCATCGCCAGAGCCTGGATGATAGACGTTCCATCCGTTCTCCGCAGCGCCATCGCACACTAATGTTGTCAATGGCTCCTCACACAACACGTGATCGGGCACCGAGCCCTCTGTCCTATTTAGCCTGAGCAGATCCTTTCATCGGAGTTTCAGATTCAGCATCGAGACACAAGAAAACACAAGGTCCTGGAGTATCAGTAAGTCGGCCTGTTCACACTGCTTCCTCCTTAGTGACCTGAAGGTCAAACCGTCTCCCAGCCTCGGTGATCAGCGATCTGCAGCTCCTGCTGCCAGTTTCAAGAGGAGCTGAATACGACAAGCTGGGGAGATCGATATTGGTTGGTGTGAGATCTCTTCCCACCTCAATGCAGAAATAGAGGGACACACAATAGACAGTCTCACTATGGGAAACAGGCAACAGCGATTGAGAGGCAACTGTCAAGTGATAAGAGGCAATCACAATAACCGATTCACAGGACAGAGCCCACTCCCTGTGTGCTCAGGTCCCTCCCAGGCTGCCTCTCCCAAAGTCAACTACGCCACACTCGTGCGTGCACTGGTCTCTGAATCCAATTTCAGATCTTTACCTGGAGTGTCAGCCTAGTCTTCAAGCTCAAAGTCCAAACTTGGGATTTGAACTCACAACTTTCTGACCCTTTAGGGTCTGAGCTGGACTGGCGCATCAAATAGAGGTTTAATCTATAAAATCCTGCACTGACTACAAATTTCCACTTATGCTGACAAAATAAAACTTGATTTTGCATTGAAACATCTGGCATAAAGGGAACACGCCATGACAGGCTGGACAGAAAGATTATTGCTAGTCGCTCAGCCTTGCTCACAGGGCAAGGTTCGGTCACGGTCAACAATGTAAAGAATGCTGAGGCTGACAGTAATAAAAGCCAGCTGGCACCATCAGCCACACAGCGGAAACTCCGAGCCCAAAGTCACCCACACCCCTCACGCAGCATCTGGTGTCAGGTGTGTGTAACACAATCCCAGAGTTCAGGTAACGGCAAAGCCAGCCACTGCTTTGCTGTCCTGGTTTATAGCACAAATTTGATTCCCCTCCAATGCAACATTCTCTCCGACTTGTGTGGCACTCTCTCGACCACCAGAGGCTGCTCCTGAACTACGTGCATCAACCTGGCGGCTCCACTGAATACTGTATCCAATGTCAAGACGAACAGGTAAAGCAATGGTCAATCAGGGTTTGGGCAAAGTGAGGTGGAAACTGTGGCCTTGTAAACTATTGCTGTGGCTCAAAGCAGCCTGAGTAAATGGAGAACGCAAAATCAGTCAGCTTTTTAAAGCGGGTGAGATCCAGATTTGCTATACTTAGTGAACTAAAGTTCAGGATCTAATGAAGGTGTTGGCCGCTAATGGTATAACGGAGGGGATCGAGGGATATGCAGAAGGCCGAAGCCAGCCGTGTGAAGGGGGTGGGGTGGGTAGAAGAGTGGGGTGTGAGAGGTGCTAGATCAGCAAGTCACTGGGTTTTGCTGTCCACACTTCAGTTGATCACACACTTCAGCTGATCACACTGCTTATGACTATTGTCAGAACCACATGGACTTTAATAAAGTTTGAAACCAATGAGATAAAGGATTACCTTTGACACAGGATCGGGCTCTCATCCCACCGCTCCGTCAGTCATCTTCAACCCCACTGTTGGGGGACACCATATGATTTTAGTCTCTGTTAGTACATGATAATGGAGTTATCGTCACGTTATGAGCTACATTGAAAACTGCACAGTTTGGAACTCGGTCACACCTTTTACAGCGCCTCATTACGTCAAACAATCAAAATGCACTTCACAGGGATTGCTGTCATATCTGTTTGTAGGCAACAGCAGCAGCCAGTTATACCAGTAAGGTCCCACAAACAGCCATGAGGGTGAATGTCCCAATTTATTTGTTGGCCAGTAATACTTCTCATAGTTTAGCTCATTCCTCCAACACTGGGGATCATCATTTGTTGCTCTGCACTGTTTCTAGGGCCAGAGGTCCTTACGTCACAGTGACCAGAATTGTGGACAGACCAGAGCACTGTAAAGGCTGAGTATGATGTCTGGGGATCTAAGTTCAGTTGATTTAGCAATGTAACCCAGCATCCTGTTTGCCTTGTTTATTGCTGAGTATCACTGTCTTGTCAAAGCGAGTGAGGAACTAACACTCTTAGGTCTCTTCACGTTTTGCCCACAAAATATACAGTCAATTCACTTTACAGTATATTCTGTGAAGCGCTTTGAGATGTCTCGAAGATGTGATAAGGCTCTATATCAAAGGATTATTCAGCTTCCCACTTGGCAAGTTTCTATCCCATCCCACGCAGTGCTTATGTTTCCTGTATGTAGCACTGTAATAATAACAATGCTTGCATTCATATAGGGCTTTTCACATCTTCTAGACGTCTCAAAGCGCTTCACAGAATATACTGTAAAGTGAATGACGGTATATTTGTAGCGAAACGCAGCAGCCAATTGCACACAGCAGCGACACACAAACAGTCTTGGATTGAGTGACCAAGTTATTATTGTTTTTATTGAGGGATGATAAATTGTGGGCAGTCCAGAGAACGAGCCCACGACCTTGGTATTATTAGCACAAAGCTCTAACCAACTGAGCTAACTGGCCTGACTGTACCCTGCATTTGCCTGTATTAACCTTCAGCTGCAGACCTACCCTGGTCAAGGTCACCAAGACATTCTCTCCATCTGTGACCGGAACTCTCTGTGCCTCTCATTCGCATTCATCGCCTTGATCTGTGCCCTTGACACAGTCAGCCATCTTATCCCTCTTCACCGCTTCTCCTCTGCTCCACCTTCTCAGTTTCTATCCGGTTAATTTCTAACATTATTGGCTCCAGACATTTACACCCAAATGACATAAGGATAAACCGGCCTTTACCGTAGTTCCCCAGATTATCCTTTGCCTCTTGCTTGAGCATTGGCACCAGCTCTGCCACACTCCAACCCTCTGGCACCTAGCCAGTCTCCAAGGACGTTTGGAAGACCACCGCCAAGAGCCTCAAATATCTCCTCCCTGCGTTCCTTCAACAATCTGGGATACATTCCATCAGGGCCCTGTGATTTCTCAATGTTTAGTTCCTCTAACGGTTTTTTTTAAAAGTATGGTTTCCTTTTGGATCAAAATCCCAAGTAGCTGTTCCATCACTTGCAGGCTTGCTGAGGCCAACACTCTACTCGCTGAGCACCCAGGCTTCCCTTCAGACTATCCAAAGAACTCTCCCACACCAGGCACCACGAGCCTTCCAGCCCCGTCCTCGCTCAACCCCAATGCCTCCCCTCACTCCCCACCCCATCCAGCGGATTGAGTTCAAGATCCTTGTTTTCACCTTTATTAATTCCCTCCACGGTCTCTCTCCATCCTATCTCTGTGACCTCTTACAAGCTGTCGGCTCCCTTCGCTCGGCAAACAACAGCCTCCTTCACACCTCCACTCAACAACAACAACAAGATTCCATTTATAGAGCGCCTTTCACGTCGGGAGGACGTCCCGAGGCGCTGTACAGTTGGGTCAGGATCTGAGCATTGCGGGGAAATGGTCAGGGTGAGGGGAGGGAAGGGAGGGAGCGAGGAGGGGGGAAATGGTCAGGGTGAGGGGAGGGAAGGGAGGGAGCGAGGAGGGGGGAAATGGTCAGGGTGAGGGGAGGGAAGGGAGGGAGCGAGGAGGGGGGAAATGGTCAGGGTGAGGGGGGAAGGGAAGGGAGGAGGAGGGGTAGAGAGTCGAGAGGGGAGCTGAAAGCTGAAGGTCCACTCAATCCATCGGTGGGCAGACAAGCCTTCAGCCATTCGTCCCACTATCTGAACTCCATCCAACTCGCCATCTCCCTCACCTCAGTCAAGACCGACCTCTTGACTGCGAGTAACGTATTATCACACACTGTGTTACTGGGTATATATAATGCATGAAATGACCTCACATTTGGGATTGGGGGCATCTCTCACGACAGAGGGGCATCTTAATGCGCTTCGCGGGATTCACTGTGTAGGGTAGTGACTGGTGTGTGGGTGAACATACACAGCGATGGCCCCCAAACACATGGGAGACAGCACCAGAGACAGGTGAGTCTGTCCTACACACACTGTGTCAGTCCCTCCCTCCTCTCCACTCTCCCCTCACTCCCTCTCACTCTCCCTCACTCCCTCCCCCTCCCTCACTCCCCGCCCCGCCTCAGTCCCCCTCTCTCTCACACACTCACCTGGTGCGGCGCCGTCACATTTCCGACCCCGGGAAGGAGTGACGCCCGTCCTGACACCGCCGCCCAACCCGCTCACCGGAAGCACGAGCCCGGACAGACACCCCGCCCAGCCAATCACACCTCACGCTCCGCGCGACTGTCCCCGCCCTCACCTGATAGACGGAACATTCGACCAATCAACTTGCCCCGGCGGGGGCCTGACGCCTGACGTCACCAAACCAATGGGACGGCAGAGAAGGCGGGCCCGAGGCCACCGGGATTGGTTGAGAGGTGAGGGGCGGGGCCTGCTCTGTCTGGGAGTGATTGACAGCTGTTGGGTGTTCCAGCAATGCAAATACATCCTAATAATAACAATAATGATAATAATAACAATAATGATAATAATAACAATAGTGATCATAATAATAATAACAATAATGATAATAATAACAATAGTGACAATAATAATAATGATAATAATAATGATAATAATAATGATAATAATAATTCTAGCATGTGATACAGCGCTTTATCGCATCACTGAGACGTCCCAAAGCTCCTCACAGGATATACTGTAAAGCCGGGCGGGGCAATTATTTTGGCTGGTGGGGCCACTTCACCAGCTGTGGTAAGCTTCGCCGGCCACGCACTTAATATAGATGCAAATGCTTAATAACAGCTCCAAATCAAGTCGTACACTTGTACATGCATAAAATAAAGTCTATGTAATTGACATTCATTAAATTAGGTTAAATAAAAACAACTCATTGAGCAGACATTTATTCGATATTTATTCACATATTGATGAGAATGTGAGAAGCTCACGCGATGGAAGAATGAAAGCGCTGATGAGCGTTAACCAGACAATTGAAGTCAGGCATCGCCTCCGTTGTTGCAATGCGGAGTATTGCTGCAAGGTGGTCATCAGTCATCGCAGATCTGTTTTGATTTATTGAAATTTCATCACAGAAAATGTCTCCTTGCATATGTATGTTGATTCAAACAGCACAAGCATCCTCCGGCATGAGCCTTTATTTTTGGAAAGGTATATTCATTAAGAGAGGTGTACAAACTGGGAAGCGGCACTGATTTGAATTGCTCTGCAAGCAATGGATCACATTGCAGGTCAGGTCAATAAGCTCGAGTTGGAGGTCAAATGGAGCTTTGTCAACATCAAATGAGAAAGGTGAAGAGACCAAAGACAGGTCAGTTTTGATCAAATTGAAATCCTGGAATCAGCGAGAAATTTGGCATGTAAGTCAAGTAGTGACGAAGTACACTTTGTAAGGCTTTGATCGGAACAGTAATCTGCTGCAAAGTTGGAAAGTGGGCGAACTGCCTGTTTCATATGTGACGCAATAAAATAAATAATTTTGTCATAAATGACTTGACACTGCAACACAAAATGTGCACAAAGGCCCCCCCTTCCCATTGGAGTTTTGAATTCAGCTCATTCATGTGGCCCATGATATCAATGACTTTCTGGGACTGAACAATCTATAATTTTTTCTATCGCTAGACACAATGATGGGCCAGATAGAATCATTTGGCGGGCTGGATATGGCCCGAGGGCCGTATTTTGCCCATCCCTGGCCTAGCCTGTAAACTCAAAGTTTGCAATACTTGTTCTCGAGCTCCCAGACACAAGACTCATTACTGCTCTTTTTCTAGTTAATATTTACTCAAACCAACGAGTTAACATCGAACTCCACCTTTAATGGTAGTTTCATGTGGGAGAGCACAGAATTCAAACAAGGGGTCACATTCGCTAGGTTACACAATTTGTGAAATGGTGGGGGGGGGGGGGGGGCGACACGTTAAGTTTATTTTGACTTGAAGGGGTGATCTTATCAGGGTTTCTAGGATGAATGAGGTGAAATTAAAACGTGTTAAAGCCACACTTCCCAGCTCCCCCAATATATCCTGTGCTTCTCTGTTGCCTACCTCACCCAGGAATTTGCTTTGTTCAGGTCTGTGCCAGCTGATCTCGGCAGATCTGACCACTAGAGAGCACCACCACATCAATTATAAGTCCTGCAAGTGGCATTGCTCACCGTAATACTGCAATAATAATAATAATTGAGGTGTTTAAAATAATATAAAGAGATTCGATAGGGTAGATGCAGAGAAACTGTTTCCTCTGGTGCAGGAATCCAGAACGAGGGATATAATCTTAAAATTAGTGCTCAGCCTTTTGGAATGAAATCTGGAAGCACTTTTTCAAACTAAGGGTTGTATAAATCTGGATCACTCTCCACCAAAAGACTGGATGCTGGGACAATTGAAATCTTCAAGACTGAGGTGGAAAGATTTTTGTTAGGTCGGGGTATCAAGGAATATGGAGCAAAGCCTCAAAGTCCAGGCTGACTCTCTGTGGGAGTGCTGCATTGTCAGAGATGCCGACATTCAGATGACACGTCAAGAGGAGATCCAGACCCCTCTGCCTATTCAGGTAGATTTTGAAAACCTCACGGCACTTGGAAACATAACCCCCACTTTGGCCCACAAAAAACAGTCACTACACTTGACAGCAACAGTTACTGTGGAGCACTTGGAGATGATTTGTATATGGCAGCCTTATAAAAAATAAATTCTTTCCCATTCAAGTTTGATTGGTTAAATAGAAACGATTCTATGGGGTGGAGGGGATGAGGTCAGCAGGGATATCTCGGAGCTGAACTGGCTCAGGGTAACATGTGTGACATGTTTTGGCAATGGAATATCGGAATCAAACCAGGTCTCTATGATGGTCTCTAGTCTAGTTCCTGAGCCAGGCTGGTCCGCAGTATTCCAGGCATTGCTGAAGACAGCATAGCCAGCCTGGCTCATCGGCAGGACTTGGAAGGACAGACCAGTCATTGGGGGGGAGGGGTGGGGAATCCTCCTACTCAGCTCCTGTTAACCCTGGAAGCCAAATCCCTAATGGGAATGTGAGCTGGTTAGACTCCAGCAGTTACCCCAACGCTCTGGGGTCCCCAAACCTTGGCTCTTGCCTACCTGCGACTAATATCTGCTGGAATTAGGTAAGGAGGATGCATCCCTCCAGGGAGTGCACATTCCAATCTGGATAGAGGGAAGTTTGAATGTGTAGGTGACATATGTGGAGATCTCAGCTTGATTTGGATACTCTTAAGCATGGTGATGGGTTTCCACATTTGTCAGGTACCTGACTGACCAAAACAGGAGAGTTAATACAGTCACTACAACCGAGGCTTATAGAGACCTTTCCTGTCTCAAAGCCCTTTAACACAGGCAGAGTGGGGAGTGGGGAAGGACGGGCTAACCGAAGTGTGCAGGGAGGAGGGAGAGTTTGAAAACAGAGAACGAGGCAGCGGATTTGAGCAAAGAATCCAGAGAGCGGGACGTAGTGCCTGGAAGCTCAGGAGCTGAGCGTCGACAGCGAGGAACATGAGCTGATTTGCGACACTTTGAGACACTCTCACCCAATGAATGAAAGGCGTTATTAGAAGCGTACATTGTCGGTGGCCTGACCACTATCTATGTATGTGTGTTGTGTGTGTGTGTGAGTCGGGGTGGAGGGTTTCCTCTCCGAGGACCAGGGTGAGGGGATAAAGATGCACCGCAAGTCATTGCATAGTCTCCAGTCACATCGGCTAAAAATACAACCTCATGCTTCCTGTCTTTACTTTTAGTGTTTTTGCTGGTGATGAATTCAACTGCAGTGCAATGTTGAAAGCCTGTCCCACCCGTCTCTCTTCACCCCCACCCCACCCCTTCCTGGGGGTAGCCTCAGAGCAGCAGAGGACTGTAGTGAGGCGGGGATGGTGGGGGGGGGGGCTGGTGCTACTGTGCGGAGACCCTGGTTACCTCTCTCTATACACTTCACGGTCCTGATATAACATACTGTCGGAGGAGATCGCAAGGTCAAGGTTCACTGCCCCACAGTCCCCTATCGCAGCATCGAGCTGCTTATTAAATGAGTCCAGTGTCCTGCCCTCACCCACCCTTCCTGATAACCACGTGCCGGTTGCTAATTACCCTCTGGGTAAATAACAACAACAACAAATTGCATTTATATAGCACCTTTCGCGTCAGGAGGACGTCCCAACGGCACTGGGCAATGAGGGGTTTGGCACGAGTTGCAGTTTGGGATCAGGGAGGGTGGAGGGCAGGAAGGTCAAAAAAGGGTTTGGTTCCATCTTTCTCTCTCTGTTTTTTCTCCCGCTTTCTCTCTAACTCTCTTCCACTCTGTTTCTCTTTATCTCTTTCTGTTTCTCTCCGTCTCGCTCCCTCTGTTTCTCTGCCTCTCTCTGTTTCGCTCACTAAGTCTCTCTCTCTGACTGTTTTGCAGACTTGTTTAGTTAGTTGCTTAATATTTTCATGTGGCTAAAGCGTTTTTTTTTTCTGAGACACAATCTCTTGATTTGCAAATCACTGTGCGCTGAGGGCCATGTCCTTTGCATGTGTTATGAATGTGTTCTGGCCCTGAGGGGTTTGCAGGACTGTCCCAGCACCTGCTCCTGTGTCCCTCACTGGGGGCAACTGAAGGGGAAGAAAGGAAAAAATTTACCCTTTTAATTTATTTATTTAAAAAAATAAATAAAAATAAATCCGCCGGTTGTTAGCCGATGGGTGGATCGCTTTTCCGGGGGTAATAATTCCTTCAAAAAAATAAATTAAAAAAATAATAAATTGACCACTCAATCCACGACTGTTTGTGGGACGCTGCTGTGGCCCAATTGGCTGCCGCGTTTCGCCCACAAAACATACAGGTCAATTCACTTTACAGGTATAATCCTGTGAACGCTTTGAGGCGCCTCGAAGACGTGATAAAGCGCTATATCAAATGCAAGGATATTATGTTATAAAAATCAGAGTCCTCCAATTATTTTCCCCCATTTTATCTCCTTTGGTCCCAGCCTCCTTTGCTGGGTGCATGTCCACGGGTGTTGATTGCCCTCTGGTCCCCTCCACCCCGATGACCATTGACCACATGTGAGCCTTGTTTGTGCAGCCATTAGAGGGCAGCACAGCAGAGCTTGACCTCTCCCCATCAGGCTCCATTACACGGGCACAACCAGTAGAGGGCGATGCAGATGGACCAAGAGCAGAAGCCCTGGCTGATTCCAACCTCCCCTAAAGGCCAGAG